GTATGGTAAAATTCAAAGTTTTACTGCATACAACGTACTTTCATAGTGTAACTGATGAGTTCAAAGATGTATCATTTAAGTCGCGTAATAAAACAGTAGACTTAGGAACCGATTTTACATCAGTATTGGAAAAAATAACATTAAAGTTGGAAGCTGAAAAACAAGAAATGGAAATCAAGCAAAGTGGATGATCGCTAATATCAATTGATGGTATTTTGTTGAGAGTACATAAATTTAACCCACTGAAGGGATCATCGCATATTGAATTACCAACATGTATAAAAAGCAAAAAGGCTGTTATAAATATTAAAAACGATGACCAACAATGTTTCAAATGGTCAATCTTATGTCATTACAATAAAAGAGATATAAGAAGTGATTGGAATGTTGCATATGTTGAATTAGAACAACGTTTGAACATAGATTTTTTCGGTATTGATTTTCCAACACCAATTGAACGAATTAATCGCTTCGAACGAAAAAAATCCTACAATATCGGTAAATGTGTATGCGTTGGACAATAAAAACATTGTTTTTCCATTGCGTGTAACTAAATCTAAAACCGCTACAGATCATATTGATTTACTATACTTGAAAAATAATGAAACTAACCACTATTGTTACATCTCAAAATTTTCAAGGCTTGTATCAAAACAGCGCTCAAAAAGTAAACGACAGGAATATCATTGTAAACGGTATCTCAGCGTATTTAACGAGCAACCGTTATTAACTCGTCCGAGTGGGAAAGAGGGACTTAAAGAACATGTAAAAATGTGTGGAAAATTCTAGGAGGCTCGCATTGTTCTACCACAGCCTAACTCTGATCTTTCAATATTACGTTTTAAAAACACAAGACGAGAAGAACCAATACCATTAGTTATCTACGCTGACATGGAAAGTTTACTTGTTCGAACGATGGAACAAATATCGGACAAGTCTATGATTATACAAAAACATAAACCAATGAGTTATTGTTTTTACATAGTACGCAACTCCAAAATATTACCGCAAAACATGTGTCAGGGATTACCGGAGGAACCAGTAATGTATCGAGGACCTGATGCTGCTAAACATTTTGTATCAGCGTTGGTGGATATAGGAAAACAAGTATCAGATATCATGAAAATTAACATCGAGATGAATCCTCTAACTTTTGAGGAACAACATCGTTTCGATACCACAAAACATTATACACAAGTATAACCTTTAGAATGATGTGTATTTTAAGTGTTGTATAAGTTAACAATAGAACTTATTTATATATTTTTAATTATATAATATAAAACAAATTTTATGAAAAAATATGAATATTACAATAAAATTGTAATGAAATTAGCATTAATCATGATTACATTTATTTATGAGATTTAAACCATTAACAATGTGAGAAAAAACTTCACTTTATTTAATTTTCAAATCAAAATGTTGTCGTACCTATTTTCTTGAACGATACAGCGAAAAAATATGCCAATACATTAAATTTAAAACATTAATTTAATAGTATTTGTTGAAAATAAAAGTGATATTTACATTATAATTAGAGTTTTACTTACTGTTTAAATCTTGGTTTCTGTATAATTCCTCGATTTCATTATCATTCATATGATGTAGGCAATAAAATTTGTCAAATAGATCTTTAAAGATTCTATAGTTTATACTTCTATCTAACATTTTTCTCCTGCTTTCATTAGTTAATTCTCCGTTCTAAAATTAATTATATGAAGTAATAATAATATGCCTTTATAAATTTTTAAAAATAACTATAAAGTCTTATCACCGTAGGGTTATGGTACAGTATTGACATGGCATAATTGGGACAAATATAAATGATATCTGAAAGTGATTAAAATCATTCTATAATTTTTACGGAGAAAGTATATGAAAAATGAGACATTATAGTTCAATTATTCTAACACTTGTTAATTAATTATTACTTCAGTTATGAAATTAAAATTGTAATTTATCATAAACTTTGATGGCTAGAACATTTTTTTTTTGGAAGAGAGCCGCTTTATCTCTTTATATCCATATGGAAATGACAATTTGATAAACTGTGATTTTTATATAAAAACAATATTCTATTTAACTTTGGGGTACGTTCATATATAGAAAATAAGTCATCGGTAAGAATTATTTTTTACGTTCGAAGTAATTCGGTCAGATTTTCATGAGTTTAAATAGTTTTCATACAAAATTTGTCCTCCAAATGAACAGTTAAGTGTTAGATTTCCAAAACAAATATAATATATNTTAAGTGTTAGGTTTCCAAAACAAATATAATATATAAAAGGAAAATACTTAAGAGATTTATAAATGAAAATTGTATTAATTCATTTATTTTACAAAAGTTAAAACAGCACTAGATAAACGTTTAAAAATACATTTTATATACGTTAAAATTTTAAAAAGAAAGAAAAATATAAATTTAGGGTAATATAGAGAGAGCTGCCCCCCGCCTCACCCACTCACCTTCCTAGTTTTGGTGGAAGTGTACGGGGGGGGGTTAAATCTAACGTAAACAAACCTAATATAATGGTGGGGGAGAACGATGAAACCCAACGTAAACTAACCTAATGGAATGGGAGGGGGAAACCTTATGTAAACTAACCTAATGCGGGGGGAGGGAGAGGATGAAACCCAACGTTTTCTAAGAATTTTATCATCGACTAGCAGACGCTTAGGTAAGCATATGTCTGACATCAAAGGTATCATAATATTATATCGCTAATAAGCGTCTGTAATTTTATGGGAAAAAATTGTAACGCTGTCTTTGTATTATTAAATGTACAAATCATTTCTAAGAATTTTACCATCAACTACCAGACGCTTAGGTAAGCATATTTTTTTAATATTGAAGATGTCGTCATAAGTAATAATAATTATCGTATGAATTTTATGAGAACAAANCCGTCATATAGTAATAATCATTATCGTATGAATTTTATGAGAACAATGGTAACGTTTGTTGTTTTGGATTCATAATTTCTAAGAATTTTATCATCGACTACCAGACGCTTAGGTAAGCATATTTCCAACATCAAATGTACAGCTATAATTTCTAAGAATTTTATCATCGGCTACCAGACGCTTAGGTAAGCATATTTCCGACATCAAAGGTATAATTGTAATATAATGATCATAAGCGTCTGTTATTTTATATGAGAACAATTGCGTTGCTGTCTGTGTGTTATATTAAATGTACAAATAAATTCTAAGAATTTTATTGTCGGCTATCAGACTCTTAGGTGATCATGTTTCCAATATCAAATGTACAAGTAATGCCTAAGAATTTTATCATCTGCTACCAGACGCTTAGGTAAGCATATTTCCAACATCAAAGGTACCACCGTACAGTAACAATGATTTTCGTATGTATTTTATACAATATTTTAAACATTACTCTACTGATCCATAAAACATTGCTATATCACATATATCGTTAAACGAACGCCGCCGCCTCACACCGCCCACCATCCGACCGGACTGGTAGAGAATAGGTGTAGCTAAATATGCTTCTAAAATTAGACGTTAAATAGAAATTATGATAAATATTTTTATATGAACATTGCTATAATCGGTTACCAGACACTTAGGTAAGCATAGTTCCAACATCTAAGGTACCACCGTTCAGTAACAATGATTATCGTATGTATTTTATGAGAAAATATGTCACCACTGATGGTGTTTCACGCCTACACATTTTATTCTTTACTATACCATCAAATGTATAGCTATAATTTCTAAGAATTTTATCATCGACTACCAGACGCTTAGGTAAGCATATTTCCAACATCAAAGGTATCACCGTACAGTAACGAGCGCTGTCGTATGCATTTTATGATAAAAATGACACCACTGGATGTGTTTCACGCCTACGTATTTTATTCTTTACTATATAACCGGTGAAACACTTCTTGTCCTGTCACATTTGTTTTTTAATTATCATTGACGTGCAGTTGTCTTTTTGAAAACCAGAAATTTATTATTTAATAATTTACACGTATAAATAAAACCATGAACCAGCAAGATCAAGCATCTTCTACACAAGGTATGTAAAATTTTCCAATTATAAACTTATTTTATTTTAATAAATTTATTTTTAAAATATTTTTAATTTTTAAATTCATTAATTTATTAAAAAAAAAAAATGAGTACGATAAAAAATTTGTACGAGAAATGTATTAAG